TAACACTCCTGTGTCGAGACCACCCAGCCCCTCCAGATCCCCACCCAGCAGTGGCTGTTCAGTGCCTTTCACTGCCCCTCCCTCCCTCCCCTGACACCACGTCCCTCCCTCCCCTGACACCACATCCCTCCCTCTCCTGACACCACGTCCCTCCCTGCCCTGACGCCACGTCCCTCCCTCCCCTGACACCACGTCCCTCCCTCCCCACCTGACTGGCCGGGAGCCGCCGCAGTGTGCGTTCAGAACCTCGCAGCCACTGCCCACCTGGACAGGCCCCAGCCCCGCGTGGCTGGACGGGCTACCCTGTCCTGTGGAAGGGGAGACACACAGGACCCCGTGAAGTGAGCTCTCGGGTCCTGCTCCTCTGGGAAGCTCAGGGAGGCTTCTCGGGGAGGATCTGGCAGATTTCAGTGTTGCAGCAGTTAGTATCGGCTCAGGAGCTCTTCCGGCATTGCCTCAGTTTCTCTCAGGCGCACCCCTCTGCTCCGTGTGGCCTCTTTCTGATGTGGGTTTTCCTCTGGCACCTGGGGAGTCTTGGGTGAGCCTGTGTATTCGTGAACGGGTTCTGGGACCTATCACTGTGTGGGGGCTGTCGAGGGCTCCCCAGAACTTAAATCCTCGGGAGAACTGAGGGGCGGTAGCACCAGCACCGGGTGCCTGGCCAGGTCCTCCGCCCAGGGGCCCCCACACCCTGGAGAGCCGTTTTCTGTAGCCGCTAGACTGTGGCCGGGGTCAGATTCTGCAGCATGTCTATTCATTCCCCTGAGCAGGCCCTGTACCGGCTCCATCCCAGCCCCGCTCCCAGGGACGCGGCCCCAGGCAGTGCTGGGCCATTGGCTCTCAGTGCTGGTCCTCGGGGATGATGTTCCCAGTCCCTGAGGTCTCCCTGACAGTGGGCGGGGCCAGCCCTCCCTGGGGCTGACGGGGCTGGTCTCCCCTTCTGGATCCTGCAGATGGACACCCGCTCCGGGAGCCAGTGTTCCGTCGCCCCAGAAGCCGTGCTCAACAACGGAGATCTGGTCTTGCCGCCCCGCATCTCCAGAGTGAACGGCTGGTCGTTACCCCTGCACTACTTCCAGGTGGTGACTTGGGCTGTCTTCCTGGGCCTTTCCTCGGCCACCTTCGGGATCTTCATTCCCCTCCTGCCTCGTGTGTGGAAATATATCGCCTACGTGGTATCCTTTTCACCGTGGCACGGTCTGAGCGGGAGGGGCGCCTGGAGGACCCCGCAGTGGACCTGGCTCTGGGATCTGGTCCATGGCTGCCCGGCGGCACCAGTCACCTGCCCTGGGCCAGACTGTGTCCCCCGAGCCTGCAGGTGGGCCCAGTGGCCACTGGTGCTCTGTGCAGCCCCCGCTCAGGATCAGGGTGGACAGGACAGCATTGTCTGAGAGGGCTCTGGAAAGGGACTCTGTCAGGAGGGACAACAGCCTCCTGGCCTGGCACAGGACCCACCCTGCTGGCAGCCTTCTGCTAAAATCCCTGCGCAGCCTTTTGCACATGGCCAGCACCTCCCTTCTCGCCCCTGGTGCCAAGGAGGACAGCGCTGTGCCCCGCAGGTCGGCAGCCTGGGTTTCCATGCCAAGCTTAGGCCACACGGTGAGGGCCTCTGGGCCGCCCCGCGGAGACGGCTGTCAACCCTGAACTCCTGGCTAGAAGGCGGTCCAGGGGCCAGGCAGGGTGACGGGAGGGCCCTGCGCTCCACCCCTTGTGTTTGGTTGCCATGGGGAGTCTGTGTTGGTCCCAGGGTGAAAGGAGGAGGGAGCCAGGATCTGAGGGCGGGAGCTGATGTCCCGGTCATGGGGAGCCCAGCTTCTCCTGGCTCCAGGGGACAAGGACCCTCTCCCCAGTGGCCCCACAGCCAGGCTCCAAGACAGAGGCCCAGGTGAGTCTGGGGTCCTTGAGAGAGTCTGGAGTCCCTGAGAGGGTCCAGAAGGGCTCTGAGTGAGTCTGGGGTCCATGAGCGAGTCTAGGGGGGGCTTCCCTGAGCGAGTCTCGGGGAGAGGGTCCCTGAGCGAGCCGTCTGGGGTCTAGAGGGAGCGGGTAGATTGTGCAGCTCCCTGCCTCCTCCCCCCTCCTGCTGTCTGAGGCTGTGCTTCTCCCCCAGTGCTCGCGGGTCTCTGGTATGAAAGAACCAGGCTCCCCACGGCCTTTGGGGCTGCATCTGGCTGTGTTTACAGCTGGGCGTCCCTCCTGCGGCCCTGCTCTGTCCCTCACGGTGTAAAGGGCTTTGGGGTGACTGTGCTTGGCTGGGCTGGCTGAGCCTCTGGGGGTGTGGTGCATTCTGTAGGGGATTTGCCCTGTGTCCAACAGGGATGAACAAAAAGGGCATGGGGGCAGCCATCCCGGTCCCCGCCTGGCACAGGGCTGTGTGTGCAGGGCTGATGGGTGGCCTTTTCTCCTCTGGGCCTGGGTAAGCAGGGCTGTGTGTGCACCGCCGGGTAAACAGGGCCAAGTGGTCAGGACTGGGTGTGCAGGGCCGGGTGAGCAAGGCCGGGTGAGCAGGGCCAGGTGAGCAGGGCCAGGTGTGCAGGGTGGTGTGTGCAGGGCAGGGTGTGCAGGACTTGGTGTGTAGGGCTGACTGAGCAGGGCTCGGGTGAGCAGGGCTGGGTGTGCAGGGCTCAGGTCTGCAGGCCTAGGTGTACAGGGCCGTGTGTGCAGGGCTGGGTGAGCAGAGCCAAGCCTGGTTGAACTGGGATCCAGTGTGCAGGGCTGGGTGTGTAGGGCTGGGTGAGTAGGGCTGACTGGCGGCCTCACCTCCCCTGGGCCCTTGGGCCTCATGGGGATGCCTCGTGCCAGGCTGACCAGGCCAACGAGGCCCTGGGCCAGGCTCTTCCTTGACGTGCCAGGTGACCGGGGGGATCTTCTTCTTCCACCTCGTCGTCCACCTGATTGCCTCCTGCATCGACCCGGCCGACTTCAATGTCAGACTCATGAAGAACTACTCTCAGCCCATGCCGATCTTCGACAGATCGAAACACGCACACGTGATCCAGAACCAGTTCTGCCACCTGTGCAAGGTCACCGTGTGAGTGCCCACCCTCGCCGAGGCCCCGTGCTGTCAGGGTCACCTCCAGGGGCCCAGGGGCTCAGGTCACCGCTGGCCCCACAGGGCCCCTGCCATGGCCACAGCTGACGCTAATGGAGCTTCCAGGGACCGGCCCTGTGGCTGCGGGTGGATAGCCCCTCATCGCGCTGTGAAGGGGGCACAGTGCCAGGCCGCCCCAACTCCTCTGCAGGCAGGGCTGAGGCTGGAGGGCTGTGTCTGTCACCTGCAGGTGACCCGCTGCTCCCCTGGAACGGAACGCGGTGGCACTCAGGCATGTTTGATCCTCAGTGGATTTCGTGCACGAGGTCCCTCCCCTGTGATCCCAGGGCAAGAGAGCGCTGTCTTTCTTGGGGGTTTTGAAGGCAAGCCCCAGGGAAAGAGGGAGGGAAGGGTTCCAGTGTCTCCAGGGGCCCTGGGGGCATCCGTGATGGCCTAGGGGGTGGCTACAGGGCTGCTGTCAGCTGCAAGGGAGGTCCTGTAGGCACAGGTAGGATCCAAGCCCCCAGCCTCAAGTCCTGGAACCATAGGGCAGGTGCGGCCTCCTCCAGGGCCATTGCCCAGAGTGAGGCTGGTGCAGGAAGGCTGGGGGGTGGTCTACGCTCCGGTGTCCACACCCACCACAGACACGGGCTCCTCCTGCTCTGTGGCTATCTCTGCCCAGAGCTGTCCTGCTTCTCCTCCTCCCCACAGGCCTCAACTCCCTCCCCCAGCCTCCCATTCCCCGTGGAACGCCCACTCCCCAGGCCACACAGGGCTGGTTCCCCCGAGGCACCTGGCTCCCGGTGATGGGGCTCCGGCCCTGGCCCAGCCTGCGCACTTGGGGCCTGACAGCCGTTCCCCGATTCACCCATCCAGGAACAAGAAAACCAAACACTGCATTTCCTGCAATAAATGTGTATCCGGCTTCGACCACCACTGCAAGTGGATCAACAACTGCGTGGGAAGCCGTAATTACTGGTGAGGGGCACAGCGGGGATGGCCGGCGCGGGCCAGGCTTGGGGGAATTCGGAAGGGAGGGGTCTGTGGGCAGGGGTCCTCATGGTGAAAGGTGGAGGGTCGTCTTGGGGCCGCATCCCTGTCCTGATGTGGTGACGCTTGGTGCGTGCGTGCCCCGGCCTCCTGTCTGGCTCTGGGGCTGTGGTGCGGCCGTCCCTGGACAAGATCATCTGCACAGAACAAGTCCCTGGAGGCCCAGTGTGGGCATTTGCTGGGCTGCCCTGGCTGAGGCCTCCTGACCGCGCCGTCCTGGGCCGGGCTGCCTCCTCTCCACCCGGGCTGAGGCTCATCCAGCGCAGGGGTGGGGCCACGGAAGGGCAGTGGGCACCCAGCGGGGACTGACGAGAGGTGTGTCCTCTGAGTGCGGTGGAGGCACAAGGATGGGAGGTGTTTCCCCTGAGTGCGGTGGAGGATCCGGGGACTCTCAAGGCCCGGTGTTCTGAGCCCCGGCTGTCAGTAGCCCTGAGCTGTGAAGATCACCAGGGAAAAGAACCACATCTGCCCCCAGCTACTCTGTGCTGACCTGAAAGAGGCCTTGGTGTGGGTGGGAGTGGGGACCAACGTCATTTGGTGTCACAGGACGTGCCGTGGGGTCCCTGCCCTGCCTCCCTGCCATCCCGCCTTGAGCACTGTGTGTGTCCAGAGTGGCTGAGCAGCCCGGCAGGGACAGAGGCTGCGTCACTGCAGAGCGAGTCCCGAGGCCGCACAAGATGGTAGGGGCTGGGGAGACCCACCCGCCTCCTCCCTAGGAGAGGAGCAGCTCCAGGACGGCCGAGGTGTGGCCGGCTCCTCTGGGTCACGCTAGCCCCGGGTGCCACTTCCTTCTGGACTCATTATGCTCTGGTGCCTCGAGCTGGCTCAATCCGGCGGGGCCTGGCGGGGAAGGTGAGGGGGGTGAGGGCCCACAGGCAGGTGGCAAGGAGGGAGTTTGCCTTCCTCAGGAAGGGCACTGGAGATGCGCCATGTGGGCACCAAGTGTAGACGCCGCCTGCAAGTGAGAAAGGGGCGTCAGGAGAGCAGGGCTGGGGTCATGGGCGCCCTGAGCTCCAAGCAGTAGCCAACGCCGGCATCTGTGCCAACCTCACTTCTGTCCCTTCATCCGCCAGAGGCGGAGAGAACAACGGCATTGAGAGCAAGATGAGGAAAGTCGAGGAGCTGATGGCAGAGCCCCGCGAGGGAGGCTGCCTACTTCGTTGTGATAAGAGGAAGGGGATGGAAAGAAGCAGGCGGCCCTGGTGTCCCGGGAAGACCGTGAGCGCTGGCCTCAGACTGTGTGGGCTAAACATGGGCAGCAGGGGCAGGAGGCTGTGCTAACCAGGAGGAGAGCGGCCCTGGGCGGCTGCGAGCAGAGGAGGCCCCACGTGAATGGCTCTGCCCCATCCTATGGGCTTTGGTCTCTGTGGTCTTAGAGACCCGCCTTCCTTCCTGGATGAAGAGGGGAGTCCTGTCCAGACAGTGGGATGAAGATGAGGGGTCTTTACTCCCTACAAGTGGGCTCAAGCCCAGGAGGACTGGGGGCACAGTAGGGCACGTCCGCCGCCTGGAGGGGCTGCTGCTTTGGAAACCCAGGCTGGGCATGGGAGGCCTCGCCACGTCCTCCGCGCTACGCGGCCACATCCAGGCCAGGCTCCCAGGCTCGGCGCTGGCAGGAGAGCGCACTGGTGGCGTCAGGAACCAGGACACCAGGAAGGAGGGCTGGGACCACCTGCCTGGTCGTCGCTGTGAGAGGGAAGCCAGCGCACGGGAGCAGCAGTCAGGGAGCCCCTCACGCCGGAGCCACCCCTCACCCCTGAATTATCCAGAAGACTCTTGGAGGGAGAGGAGCGCCCGGAAGGCAGCTGTCCCCGCACTACCTCCTTGGAAGACTGCGGCATTCATGCTCTGGCCTCCAGTTGAAAATACGAAAAGGGATTTCAGTGAACTTAGGTGAACAGAATACACTGGAAAAGGTTAAAGGAGGTTAAAGGATCCTTATTAAAAAAAAGTCATAATGGCAGAAAGACCAAGGAAGACGGTTTAGTCAGAGTAGGTTCCAGGGACCGATGTCCAGAATTGGTTTTTCTGAATGGATTATTCTCTCCGTCTTTTGAGCAAAAACGAGAGGCTGGGAGTGGTTTTGGTCTCACGTCTACAGTATGCACGTCACTTTTGGCTCAATTGTGCACGAGAGTCTCGGAGAAGGGGGAACTGCAGCCGAGGAGCGGCCGGGCTCCTCCAGGGCCTCCTCAGCTCGAGTTCCCTTTGGGTGCAGTGATCCAGGTCCCTGAGCCTGCAGGCCCTCCTGGGTACCACGGTGCAATCATGGCTCTCTCTTTCCCTGGCTTCAGTGCCTTTGCCTAGCGTGGTGCCATGGAGACCCCAACACAGACCATGCTCAGAGCGCCCTGAGTGGACCCTGCGTGCTCCTTGGCTGGGAGGGAGCCCTATCTGAATGAGGTGGAGTCGGAGGTGCGGGCAGAGGCCCCGGAGCCGTGACGCTGGAGACGCGGTGTGACCCTCACGCTCCACTGGCCGGGTGGGCTTGGGCGAGTCGCATTGCGTCTCTGACCTCAGTTTCCCCACTCGTGAGAAGGGCTAGTTCCCCTCCTCACAATCTCCTTGTTCCTTGTGGGGAGTAAATGAAACCAAGTTTGCAAGAAGTGCTGCCTGAATTGTCGGGCAGTGTGAGATGGTGGGAATGTACCATGGCCACCCCTCTCCAGTGAGAGGCCTGGAGACCCGGGGGGCGTCACAGGATGGGACAGAGACAGGAGCCTGAGCTTCCAGGCACGGTCGGGAGCAGGGTTTGAGGCCAGTGTCAGGCGGTGGCCAGCGGCCCTCTCTTAGTGGATGCCCACGCTGAGCTGTCGTCTCCACCCTGTGGGCTCCAGAAGCCCTGTGCGTCCCTGCCTCTGCCCCCGCACCCTCCCACCTGCCCCCGATGCCCTGCGCATCCCTGCC